ACACACACACACACACAGCATACACACACACACACACACACACACACACACACATATGCTCCTCACCGCAAAGCCTCTGCAGGAAGTCTGGTACCAGCCAGTCCGACATATTTCAGCTTCTCACTCTTCCTGAAGAAATCCCTCACACTACGTGTCACATCTTTCACTTTCCTGGGATAAGATACAGGTCCCATGACTCATTACGACTCCTACTTGGACTTTAACATCTCTTGGTGCCCATCGTAAAATAACATGGCCTTCACCTGTGTGAGAAGGTGGTCTTGGACAAGTTCAGGTGAGTCATTTTGGTGTAGCATCCATGTGACAAGGACACAAACAGCTGCACGAAGCAAAACAAAGGGTCAAAGGTCACTCAGAGCAGCATGCTGCGCAAAGCACCAGGGATCAAAGGTTACTCACAGTGTCCAAGGGGCAGTCTGTCCCACTTAGGTCCAGGTAAGACACAATATTCTCACCAGACAGAAACTTAAACAGGCACTTGGAAAGAGAGAACAAAATCAGTGGAGAACAGACCTCTTGAACAGAGGTCCTATGAAAATGCAACCCTCAGCAACACATTTCTGACTGCACTTACAATCAGGAATATTCAATGCAGTACTAAACCCTTACCACAATCCCACTCAGCTGCAAAATACTAAACAATTCCTACAATTCCACTTGGTTACACAGTCCTAAACCCTTCCCAAGATCCTACTCAGCTACAAATTACTCAAGTCTTCTCACAATCCCTTCCCCCTCTTACTTCAGCCTCCTCCATGGCCAGACACCCTGCATTGCCTGACAGGTCCAGGTGTTGCAGTGACGTGGGGAATGACTTGTGTGAAAATGCCTGAGCCAGATTGGCAACACCTGTCAAAGAGAAGCCGACTGAGAAACACAGCCCAGGAGGGTGAGAAAGAGCCACGTCCCGGTTTGCACAAGCCACACGGACAGGCCACACAGAGACACCCGCAGCTGTGCTGTGTGTGTGCAGCCGGTGGCTTTACCTCTGGAAGAGAGTGACACCTTGGCGAGGGACAGCTGGACGAGGCCGTGGGGCAGCTTGTCCAGTTGCTGACAGAGCGCCGCCACACCTGAAAACAGGTAACACAAGCAGTACCGTTGAGCTGCCTTTGCTAGTCAGAAAAGCCCCCCCCCCCCCCCATCATTCTGAATCAGACACACGGTCCCCACCTTTGTCCTCTATCTGATTGGCCGAGAGATTGATGGTGTGCAGCATGGAGCCTGAGTGGTCTCGAAGAGCCCAGGCCATCCTCAAAGCAAAATCCCTAGAGGAGGTGCATTACATGGTGACCAAGAGGAGAAGGCCTTCCTCCCTCAGGCACGATTATAGAGCCTGTCCCTCCCAAAGATGTCTCCTTTACAGAGGATGGATCTGAAGCACGCTCGGAGTCAGGGTTAAGGGCAAGAAGGCTGGTGGCCTAGAGTGTGGTAATGGGGTAGAGTGATGGGGTGGAGGTAGATTACTCACGATCTAAGACCGCTATTCTCCAGACACACCTCCTCCAGCTTGGGAGATCTGTTGATCATGTAGAGGACCTGTTCCTGAACATCCGGATTCTGCAGAGACAGTGGTTTAGGATTCTCTCTGGGTAAAAGAGGACCATCAAACCAGCCAGTTCACCAAATATACTCGTCTGGACAGGGACCAAAAGTGAAAGGCCATGTGGTGGAGGTTCTGTCCAGTAGGTGGACACCTACCAGCCTGAAGTCTCTGTTACTGATCCTGGTGAACCACTGGTTGAATGACAAGGCAGCCACTGCCAGGGCGAGATCACTGAGGAGGAGAGAGAGGGAGGCATCCTGACTGCTGTTTGACATCATCAGGATGAGACAGGTCGTCTTCATACCTGAATAATAGGTGGTGATTTGGTATTGACAGTCTTACAATAGGGGAAGGGGTTTGGGATTGATATACATAATGGGGGGGGGTATGCTACCGACTGTCCAGGTGACTGAACTCCAGCAGGTTGAAGTCCCGACAGCTCTGGACATGGTAAATATTGTCCACATCCTGACAGGGACAAAGAGATGGAGCTAATGGGTATGGTTGGTAACTACATCCTGTACGACCAAAAGCATCAAAGAGAACTAACAGACAGCCATACAGGCAGCGTAAATGAACCCTAGAGATAGAGTCAATTGACAACAAAGTAATCATGATACCACTCATATGTACATGCATTATACAAAGTGGCATGAAATGCATTATACATGCATTTTACAGAGTGGCATGCAATGTTGTCCTCAGTGATACCAACCCATTGGACCTCTTCTCGACAGGGGAACTCATTGAAGTCACACAAGGCGGCATAAGTCTCTGAGAAGCCACCTGCAGGAGGGACCAGTGGACCAAGTCAGAACTGATGGGCCTTCCTCATGGCTCGTAATCCCAGCATCCAACGCCTCCCTCACCCTCCTTAGTCCCAGTTTCCAAGGCCTCCCTCACCCTCCTTAGTCCCAGTTTCTAAGACCTCCCTCACCCTCAGTTCCAGTTTCCAAGGCCTCCCTCGCCCTCCTTAGTCCCAGTTTCTAAGACCTCCCTCACCCTCAGTCCCAGTTTCCAAGGCCTCCCTCGCCCTCTTTAGTTCCCTCTTCCAAGGTCTCCCTCACCCTCCTTAGTCCCAGTTTCCAAGGTCTCCCTCACCCTACTTAATTGCAGCATCATGGACATTCTGCACCATCACCCATCATGTGCTTCCCACGCTCACAGCCACCCACCCCATCTGCAGGCCCTACCTCACCAAAGAGGAGAGTGAAGGATCATCAGAAGACTCTCACCGCATGGCCCCTGGGTGCTGCTCAGTTGCTCCTCCACATGGGCTGTCAGCCTCCGCAGCTGCTCTTGCAGCTCAGTGGGGACCTTCTTCAATAGTTTCCTGGGAGACAAAAGAAGAGGAAGGGCTTCCATAGTGACGGGTGCCCGACATAACCAACAGATGCTTCAGGAACCATTTTACCTATGTGGGTAGACATTTACTCTAAGGATCAGCTGGCAAGGGGCCACGTTCCTGATGGCAGCCAATCAGAAAGACACGCTCTGAAGGTTGGCAGCCCTGATCAACATGGAAATCACAGGGTCTGTGGGAAGCTTGGTTCAGATGGAAATTTGCAGGACTGCCACATCCTGGAAGCCGCACCATGAGGCATCAGGTGTGAGAGAAAAGATCACAGACTGCATTGTTTGCGACAGCCCCGAGCATGAACAGACAATTGAGTGTGAGGAAAGACCTCATAAGAAATTCCCTGTATGTGTTTCATTGCTTTTACCAGAGCTGTGACCCAGAAAATGATAATTGACCAGAGCTTCTCTGTTCGCTGGTCAGTCACAATCATTGTTTCTTTCAGCCAAGTTTCTAGATGGTCTTACTGAGCCTTTGTTCCCCAGAACTCAAGACTTTCCCCACAACAAAGACTTTCCACCTCGTACCAATCGCCCCCAGGGCCAGACCCTTCTGATGCTGCAGCTGACGACGCAGCATGAAAGATGATGCAGAGAAACGTGTGGGAGGGCAAGCAGGCAGATTATCTTTATTTTACACTCCAGATGGAAATCAGGAATGAGCTGCTGCTCTGAGATGTGCCATGTGCAATACCCTTATATAGCAAACCATTTAGATCAAAGGCACGGCACAAGAACAGCCCTGGGACTTGACCAGTGAATACAAGGTTACAAGTCTTGCCCTTAAACACTGTTGGCCTGTGTCCAGCTGCGACGGGGAAGAGGGCAGAAGGACGGTCGTGGAATATCACTCACTCACCCTGGTGACGAGTCCGGAAAGATCTTCTTGAGTGAAGCAGTCACATGACTGACCACTGCCTCCAGGTCCTCCATGGTCATCAGGTTAAAAGTGTAACTCTGCTTGTCGGTATCAATCACCATCTGTCGGGGAGATGAGCACAGAGTAGCAGGCATTAGTAGCGACCTCCCTCCCGGGGGGGGGTTCTGACTCACAATCAGCTATGAGTAGGGAGATCCCCGCTGACCCCCAGATGCATGCCAGGGCGTGGGAAGCAGCGCCACCCATCTTAGTTAAACAAGAATGTGTCGTTAATGTCGGAAACCCACCATGACAGCACAGTCCCCAGACCTTTTGGACAAACAGACACTCAGCATAATTTCTGTCAGTGACATACAGATACACTGAGGGCAGAACACTCTGGCTATAGGTACACAGCAGAGGACAGCACAAACTGCAAGTAAGTGAAGAAGCAAGAAGACTGAGGAGGAAGCAGGTTCAGAGTTAGGTAAATAAACTAGAGATGCACCGATACCGATATTCGGATCGGTATCGGCGCCGATCCAGACCTATTTGACGGATCGGGTATCGGCCATGCGTGACCGATCCACGTCCTATACTTACTTATTTAGATTTTGGCAATCAATCACAGGACAGCTTTTTTGCTACTCAGTGGGTGTGAGTACATCATACCTGTCAAGTTTTGAATTTGAAAATAAGGGGAAATTTTCCGGCACCCACCGCGAGCCACCCCACCACCCCAACCAAGCTCCAGTATTCCTTACATTTTAAGACAGGTGTACAAGAAATCTAAAATAACCACTTGTCATTTACATTTTATTTTCATTACACATTTTCTTTTAATTTCTCATGTTCACTCATGTGGCTCTCTGGCATTCACTAATGACTTATTATACAGATTTGTTGCAGACTTTGTATCCTTGTTGAAGTCGTCACAGAAGGTGAAAGTAACGTTGTTTTTGGCACACAGTATTGCCATTTTAACCTCCGCATTTATGACTTGGTTAATGTTGTAAATGACCTGCAGACTACTGCAGGTGGCAGTTCTCGCGAGGCTACTGACAGTTCAGTTTGGAGAGGCAGAGGAATTTTTTTTTGAATGATATTATAATATACGGGAGATTTACGGGAAAATACTAATACGGGAGGACGGCGGGAAAGAGGGGTAAAATACGGTAGTTTCCCGGCCAAAACGGGAGACTTGACAGCTATGAAGTACAGTGACTTCCGCCTGCTGTGACGTCATGCGCATACCCTTCGCAGTACGAGGAGCGTAAGATAAGACGTGACGACCTGGGAGTATTTTACACTTTTAACAGAAACCAGTAGCACAGCAATTTGCAATCTATGTAAAATAAAGTTTTGAGGTGGGAATAGCGTTTAATGGACAATCCCATTTAACAAAGCGCACGCAACTGCGAGACAAAAGCAATGGATGATTTGGGAGTCGCTAACTTAATTGGACTGTTTTGTGAACTCGCTGCAGCTTGTGATACAAGAGGGGCTGCCATCGCAACAAAAGTGTAACTGCACTGACGCCAATGGGAGAAGAACTGTGTTTAAAATTTTAAGCATTCGCCACTTGTGTATACTTGCTTTGAAGATATTCATATTGAACTGCAAATGCCTCAAAAACGCTTAAAACTAACGAGGTGGAACAGTACGTTATGTATGTTTGTAGTAGCCTAATAAAATATTTTTGTCATACATTTTTCCCATCTGTATTTACTAGCTTAAAAAAAATAATATATAAAGTATAACAAAGTAAAAAGAACTCTTGTATCGGAATCTGTATCGATATCGGCAGTTGTGAATCGGATCGGAACTGAAAAAATGTGGATTGCCCATCTCTAAAATAAACCCAATACCCCCGTAACAGAGCTGACTCTAAGATTGACAAAGTTCCGAGTAACTTGTGAACCACCGACTTGAAACCCTCAGGATGTCCTGTTCCTGACAACCATCCTCTCATCAAAGAGATCTCACTTGTCCCCCGAGTGTCCAAACCGGCCTCATGCCGCAAGATTAAATGAAATTCAACAAATAGCCAATGGTAAACCCAGTGTGATAGGTGATGGCAGGTTCTGACCCGGCTTACCTGGTTCAGGCTTCCGATGGTGATGGCGTAGATCTCCAGGTAGCTGAAGGAGCTGTCCAGCTGTGGAGGGAGAGAAGCTTAGAGACCCGCTCTGATCGCCGAAGGAGATGCAATGCGGGAGAACTGAAAATGACTCAAATTAGAGAAACAAGGTAGGAGGAACAGAACAGGAAGAGGGTGTAAATAATGCTCTCGCGTGCGTGTGACCGCGGGTCTCTCCGACTGCCAACCCTGATGTGTGTTATCCTCTGTGCATCACTCAGTCCACAGGATGTGACCTCATTGTGGGCATTGGCTCAATCTGTATCTCGCAGCCGTAGACACCAATAAAGAGTGTTACCAAAACCAAATGCCTTCTCCCCACACGCTCAAATCCCCAGATGCCTGGACAGTTTCATCAGACCAGTGGTCATCACCACGGCCAAATCTGATAGATATTTAGATCAAAATGCAATTATCACCACATACATGGTACATAAAAACTTTTTCTTGATCAAAACATTTTATGGCAGACACAGGCCAGTCTGGCCAAAAGCATGTTTTTTTGTGTACAGACATGTTGCCGAGCCCTAAACCAGACCACTGACCACAGCATTTAATTCTGTATTTGCTTTGTCACGAAGGACCAGAGTTCACAACTCAGGCTCCTTTGCCCCAGATCTGCAGATTCCGACATCCCAGGAAGCTCTAGGTCTGTTTCCATGTTACCCTCCAGATTGGCACCACGCGTGGCCATCAGAAGCCTCGAATGGGGATCTCTGCAGCAATGCTATGAATAAATTTCCATCTGTGAACCAGTAAGTTTCCAGAAATGAAAAGTACAAACCGAGTCACGGAGATTTGTCCAAAAAGCCCCAACAGTATAAATGGATCCTGTTTGAACTCTCATTCAATACGCAGTAATGGAAGAATGAACAAATCCATCCTGAACGAGAAAAGCAGCGCAACACCAGACCCTTACCTTGTGGGACGTTCTTCTGAAGTCTCCCCAGCGATAGAGTGTGAGGTTGCCGTTACGTGTGGCACAGTCCCGTCCCCCCCCCTTTAGAAGATGAGCACCCGCCACCCACCGGCCACCCCACAGCGCTCCTAACTCTCTTCTGCTTGTTAATATCAGCTGCAGGGAATGTGTTGCCTTCCACGTCACCGCGGGTTTGTTTTCACAGATGCAAAAATGGTCATGCAAAACAAACCCTACACAAACCAGTCACCCACACACTTCCATAGGCACCACCGTCACCGAGACCATTTTTCTACCACACCATCACAGACAAAGACCATCTCTCTCCCATATACACACACGGTCACAGACAGAGACCATCTCTATACCACACAGACAAACACACTGAGTCACAGAGACCATCTCTCTGCCATACACACACACACACACACACACAGACATGGTCACAGACAGAGACCAGCTTTCTACCACATCATCACAGACAGAGACCAGCTCTCAACCACACACATGGTCACACACAAAGACCATCTCTCTCCTGTGTACACACTTGGACACGCACAGGGTCACAAAACTGAGACCATCTCTCTACCACACACACACGGTCACAGACTGAGACCATCTCTCTACCACACACACATGGTCACAGACTGAGATCATCTCTATATCACACACACACAGTCACAGAGACCATCTCTATATACATACACACACACACACACACACACACACACATACAGAGAGTCACAGACAGAGATCATTTCTCTATCAAACCCACACACACACACCCTCATACATCTGCTCACCCTGGTAGTTGTAGTAGGTTTTGGAGGAAAGGTGAAGACACAGAACACTTACCTTGACTGGCTGCCTGCAGTGGAACACATAAGCCCTCCATGGTGTCATGACCTGGGGAGTCAGGGGGCAGAGGGACATGCCAGTGTGCATGGTGGGAAAAGGTCAGCCAGATTCAGAATCACGGGCCGCTTTGGGGCAGTTTACTAAACCTTCACATCATCATCATCACCGAAAAACATGTGTCTTTGTCTATGCCACAAAGGCAACCATCCCCTGTGACAGAGGCTACTGTCAGAAGGTTCGCCAAGCAGCTCCACAAGGAGGATGCTCCTACTATTAGTCTGGTCCCACCTGCTGTTGGAAAATGGTACTGCAGTTATGACTGTATGTAAGCACCCCATGTTTTCAGATTCCCTTGGGAGACACACTCCTCAGCACCAATGCGTTGCACATAGGCACCATTTATAGGCTGATCAGTAGTGTTTTCATTGTATAACTGGATCCTGTGCACCAGTCAGGTATCAACTGTGTCAGTTGGTAGGATTTCACCACCAGATAACATCCCATTAGTGTGAATCAAAACGGCCATAGTCACCAAGACCCTGCTGTCCAATCCGGCTTTTAACTGGTTCAGCTGGACCTGTGTCAGGAAGAGGACCTTCTGGGGATTAAGCAGCTGAAAGATCCCATCTGGAGCAGGGGCACATGGACACAGGGAAGGGTAGCTGGTGAGCAGGCATCACAGCTAGAGTCTGTGCTGAGTGAGCACGATACGGCCTTTAGAGGGGTCAGCCCCTGCCGGCCAGCATCCCCTGCTGGCCTAGTCGCTTGCACCTGGGCCTCTTCTATGCACATTCATCTCTAATCACACCAGTGCTCCACATTGGCACTGACGTCTGGGGTTTAATATCACCCAAATTAGCATTAGGACAGCAGATGGTACAGGTACAGATTCATGCCATAAGCATGGTAATTTAGTGTAGAATCATCACCTGTGCTGGTAATCATGGGTAAAAGTGTCTTAAATGACTTTATCAGACTTGGGCAAAAGCTGGCCTGTGGAGCTGATTTTACTGGCCCGTGTGTTCATTTAAAAAAAATTTAAAAAAACTGGTAACATTTTATGCAAAAATTTTTGAAATATGCCATAAAACACAAAACATGCACTAGTCCTTTTTGCTTTCTGCATTATTCTCAAAAAGTAAAATCTGACAGGTCCGTTATTACAGCATTCATAAGCCCAGAGTTGCCACCATGAGGGGGCTTGTGGGGAGGGGTGGTAAGGCCCCCTCAATCAGACAAGTAGGCCCCGTCGAACCAGTGACCCCCACCCCCCATCATGAAAACCTTGGGCCTGGCTGTCAGATTTGTTCTGGCACCGACACCACATAGGACATAAAAATAAGAAAATTAAGAAAATCCACCCTGCAGAGGTTCAGATTCTGTCCACTACAGAAAATAACTGCCCAAGCCTGGACTAGATGGATGAGCAGGATGGCGGAGAACATCAACACAATGGTGCCACCTCCCAGGAGCTCAGAGCATCTGCAGGGCATCCAGCGAGCGCCTAACCATTCCCACAGATGCATTTCGATGCCGCGCATGCAACTCATGCAGGAGCCGGGGGTGCAGCCGGTGGCACCAGAGTCCCCATCAGCAGAGAGCGGCAGCCCCTTTGGCGGGATGGTGACAACACCGCGGGGTACAAACGAGAGGCTCCGCACTCTGGGTACCCGGGGGGGGGGGGGGGGGGGATGGACATCAGCTTCAGGTTTAACAGCGAGATACCCCCACCATCTTGCCCCCTAACTGCAACCGTAACCATGTTCCCTCACCCTAAGTGTAACTCCAACTTTGTCACCGGGAGCGAGCATCGCACCAGAACCCAGCTCACCACGGCATAGACACCCCTGGAGGCCCCCAATTGCACGCCACACTGGGGCGGGAGCTCACCCTACCTTGGAGGCTGAGGGACAGCCGGCCAGCAGACAGCATGACAACCACACACGTCCGTCCTCGCGATGAACCTGCGGCTGGTTGAAGACAGGTAGCCGAGTGGCGCACACGCATACAGGCGCGCACACGCACACATCCTGCTTCGACAGCGAAAGAAAGACACTCAAAGTGAAAGTGTGTAGCAGGAAGGGCTCCTCAGCCCCACAAGCGCCTCCAGCAGCTGCCTGAGGAGCGTAACGTCTCCGAACCGCCTAAGTGATCATGCCTGTCATGCAGGGAACAGACGTCCAGCTGGACACATTGGCCGCGCGGGGCAGAGTGCTGCAGCGACAGGCTATCAGAGCCGCGTACGGGGCCGCATGCTGACACCAGGCTTCTGGTTCGCACCAAAACCATTTCACTTGCTGGCTGACTGAGAGCCAAGATGGTGCAGGCAGGCACTGCATTCACCCACCAAAACGCCTCTTTAAAAAAGTTCTTCACTGGATTCAACTCCCTCCTCAAGCACATCCACAATGGGCAGGATAAAGCATTTCAGGGTGTGCAGGTAGGCAGCCAACACGCTGAGAGACCCGGGGGCTGAAGCCTGAAGGACCCGGGGGATGCCGTTCGGTCCCACAGTAGGATCGGCACTTTGCATACCCCAGACAGCCGCCATCCTGTGCGCGCGGTGGGGCAAACAGACGAGGCTGCCATTTCCGTTTGATTGGTCATTCGCAGCAGGTGCCTTTATAGGTCGACTTGTGGCAGAGCCAGTGACCTGACGTAGTGCCAGGCTCGAGCACAATCGAGAAAAAAACAAAGCCCAGATGCAGCAGTCCCAAAAGCATTGCCCTTTATTTAATAAGGAGCAGTAAGACTAATTTGTAAGCAGCTGAATGAACATTATTCAAAGGGATGTTTTAAAGGCATCACAGAAACAGTGAACTGGAAGAGCAGTAATGACACAGGGCACATCCACACTTCACCATCACATACAGCCGGGGAAGTAAAACCCAGGGGACATCAGGTCAGTCGCCTTTTATTAGCTGAACTGCAGCACATTCCCCTCCCACCTCCCATCCATCCTTAGTAAACCTTCAAACATAATTAGTGGTTCTCAACCACTGAAAATGGAACAGCGAAAAAAAGAGGGAAAAAAACTAGAATTTAAGAACGTAAAGAATAAGCTATTTTGAAATGCAAATACAATAGACAGTGGGAATTCCATAGCGAATCAGGAAACTTTATGTAAAACAAGATTTTTTTAACAGCTCTATACAGACACCCACCTTAGCTTAAAACCTCCTTACAAAAAATATATATTAAAAATATTATGGCAATATGTTTAAAGACAGCAATATACCATAAGGAAAATTAATACCACATTTATTCTCCGTTTGAGTAAAAAGGCCTGGGGCTGGTATTGCAAGACATCAGTAATTAAACAGCAGTTTAATATCCCCCCCCCCCATTTTCATCACACTGCAGGGCGGGGCAGCCGGCATCCGGTTCTGGAGTCCCTCAGATGAGTGGCTGTTACAGGAGCTCCCAACTGCATGGGGATCGTGATGATTGGCTGCACCTTCTGTATTATACCACCCCTGGGTGTAGGGGGCGCTGTGACTGAAACGTTAAGATGGGAACAGCCAGTCCCATTCCCCTGAGAGCACAACCAAACCACCCCCACCCCGTCAAAAGCAAGCCAGGAAGCAGAGCAGCAGAGTCAGCCTGGTGGCTCCGGCAGGATGACACCACACTGCTGCTCTTCAAACAGGGAATTCATATGCTCTTCAATCACCAGCTTAAAATATCCTTGATATAAAAATATTTACAAGCGAACAGTCGTGAGTATGTCTGTACAAATACCCACGGGTCTGGCTCGCCGTCATTTTATGATCCCAATTAAAAATGGACTGTGTTTGGACAGGCACGCACCCCCCCCTCCCCCCCACTGTCTCACCCACCACCACAAGGCTGCCACTGCCAACAGTGTGGTGGGAAACTGCAGGAGCCCCCAGATTCGAGAGCGGCAGGAGCGTGGCATGGGGCACGCTGAATAAGACGGCAGGAAGACAAGGAGCGGAGAAAAGAAAGCGAGCGAACCCCAGGCGTGATAGGAGGTGTCAAAAGCGAGGGGCCGGCAGCTGGGGCCCGGAGGGAAGTCAGCCTCGCCCTTCCAGCCCTACACACATGGCGAAGCGAGGATGGGACGGGTTAGCAAAGACTACGAAAGGTTCCTTGAAACGCTCATCCTGTAGAGAAATTAGACGGTCACTATTCTTCTCAGGCGTTTAAAGGCCCAGCCTGGGTAAAAATCACAAAACAGGTACGGTGAGGGGAGAGTAGGGGGCTGAGGGGGTTGTGGGCCGGCCATGGTGCTTCCGCGTGCCACACTGGATTCCCGTCACCGGTCCATCATGCTCAGAATCATCTCAGGGGTCAGGTCCCCGTTGGGCGCAGCCTCCACTAAAGGCAAATGCACGGCTCCGGCATCCGCCTCCACCGTGGTCACCCCCGTGCTGGCCCCATCGGGATCTCTCTCCTTCACCGTGTTCTGGTCCTCAACCTGCACGATGGCCGCCTCTGAGGATGAGGGACAGACAGACATGTCAGCACTGAGACGGTAAGATGCCTTCACATGGCCGGCATTCAGAGGCTGATGCAAGTTCAGGTTAAATGCTTTCTGATCAATCCAAGACCTGAGTAAGACCAGAGTTCTCCCTCAGCATTACGTTACCACCTGCTTCATCTCACAGCATAATGACTCTACATACCTGAAGTACCACGAAAGGTAGCCCCCTTGTGGTCAGAAGAGAGAAATGACTTACTTGGGGAGGGTTTCGGTTGATTGGTTCTGCCTGGTGGTCGACCACGTTTCCTCTTAACAGGCGGGGTCACAGGGGCAGGGATGGGGATGGTGGGTGGGGCCTGCTCCATCTCCATGTCCATGTCCACGTCAGGCAGCAGGCCATCGTCATCCTCATCGATGTCATCCAGCTCCGCTTCTGCGTGATCTTCTGCAAAAGGACAGCCAACATGAGAATGCTGCCTGCAGTGGGACAGTGGCTGCCTGCAGTGGGACAGTGGCTGCCTGCAGTGGGACAGTGGCTGCCTGCAGTGGGACAGTGTCTCCCTTGCGAGGTTTCGGAACTTACCGCTGTCGTCGTCGTCGTCGTCGTCGTCATCCCTCCTGCTACGCATCTTCTTCTTCCTGCCCCCTCGGCCCCTTCTTGGGGGGGCACCGTTCTCCGCATCAGCCGAGTCGACTCCAGTGCAGTTCTCAGTGTGTCTGATCATAGTGTTCTGTGGAGGGGGTAGTGATAGTTATCAGTCAATCCAAAAACACAGGGTTCACCCTTGAGGGGGGACACACCTACCCTGCGAGTGAAGGCCTTGTCGCACTTGGAGCACACGAATGATGTGGGCACGAAGCTGGGGTCGTGGTATCGTCGGAAGTGCATATCGAGCAGCTGCTTCTGCCTGAAGGTCTTCTCGCACTGGCTGCAGGCATAAGGCTTTTCGCCGGTGTGTGTCCGCTTGTGCATCACCATGTGCCGCTCCTGCCACGGAGACACTAGTCAAGCATGAACCTGCGGCCCTGCACCTCTTTACCCCCTCCCCCCCCCCGCACCAACGCATGCCCACCTGCCGACAGGCGTACTCGCACTGGTCACACTTGAAGCGCTTCTCGTTCTTGTGGGACTTCTGGTGCTGGATGAGGGCGTAGCGCTCATGGAACACGGCGTCGCAGTAGCGGCACTTCCTGCCGCTCTCGATGTACGAGTGCTGCTTCCTCAGGTGGACGCCTGGACACACGGAAGGGAGGGACACACAGACACTGTCACGGTCCTGCCAGACGTGCTGGTACCCCTCCCCTACTCCAGTAAGGCCGCATCAGGTCTCCTCTTCGAGTCAGCGAACAGGAAGTCACCTGACCTGCTGCAGTTGTACTCATCACTCACTAAGATGAAAGGCTCACCTAGGTCGCTCTTGCGGGCAATGACGGTGTCGCAGTGGGGACAGTGGAACTTGGCCACGTTCTCCGTGTGCTTTTGCAGGATGTGCATCTTCATGGTGCCGCTCTGCGTAAAGCGGGCGTGGCAGATGTAGCACTCATATGGTTTCTCTCCTGGAGTTCGGGACAGACTCAGGCTTAGCGACACAAAGACGCCTCCAACACAAACCCTGCGGCTATCCATGGAAGGCCGAGGTCCCTGACAGCAGAGCCGTCATTGCTACCCCTTTCCCTCGACCCTGTCAGCTGTCGATATCACACTGCCTGAGCGCCAGACTGTGAGAGTGTCTGAGTAAAACAGCCAATAAATAATACATAAAATTTAGCATCTGAACATTATAAGTTGATCTTTTTTTGTGAGATGCTTCTCCATTTTCTGGTTATGTCACTCCAAGCACGACGCCAAGATTGACTCCCCCCCCCCCCATAGTGTGAATAAACTTCATTTTAAGGAACACCTTTCTGAAGTAGCCAGTAAAACATGCCACCATGTGCAGGCCCAGCCTGGTGGAGGATTCACCCCCTCGCTCCAGGCCACCCCCGAGGCCAGACCAGCCTGCCTCTCACACTTCCTCCCACTCTCAGTCCAGGGGCACCCCGCTTCCTTGTGCTCACCCGAGTGAGTCCTCATGTGCCTCTTCAGCTTGTAGGTGTCCCTGCTAGCATAGCTGCACAGGCTACACTGGAAAGGTCGCTCCCCCGTGTGCGAGCGGATGTGGCGCTTCAGCTTGCTCACCTGGTGGGGGGAGAGATGCGGTTAGGCAACGTAACGGGTAACAGACCCGTAACCCACTTAGGCAGGAAGGGGTGGCTCCCCCTGAAAAACACCAGCTACATCCGCTCTCATTGCTGACGAAAGGCATGCCTGTTGGCGGCTTTTTCTCTCTTTTCAAAATACAACTGCCATTATGTTCCAGTGCCTGCAGACAAGTACCCACCTCCCCCCTCGTTTAACTACAAGCAAACAAGCAGAGCCAGAACACCCACGTTTAACCAGAAGTGGCCCAGCCGAGCCAAGCCCCAGATTTAATGAGAAGTAGCCTGCCTGAGCCAGAGCCTCTGCTTAGCTAGAATGTTTGTCCAAGACCCCCACGTTTAACCAGAAGCAAACCAGCAGAGCCAGAACTCCCACATTTATCCAGAAGTTGGTGTATGGACCAGAGGCTCTACGTGTAGCCAGAAGCACCCTGGCCCCACATTTAAACAGAAGCAACCCAGCTTGGCAGAACATACCTCCACACTGGAGTAGTCACACATGGAGCACTTGAAAGGCTTCTCGTGGGTATGCTTGTAACGACGGTGTCGAACCAGCTCTCCGCTGGTGACGAAGGCCATGTCACAGTCTCCGCACTTGTGGGGCCGTGTCCCTGTGAACAGTTATGAGGGGATAAAGGTCAGTGGGTGGCCACAGGCGGACATGGGTAGTCAGTAGGCAGCACGCACCTGTGTGAGTGTTCAGGTGGTTCCTGAGCAGGGTGACGGTCCTGAAAGCTCGGCCACACAGGTGACACTTGTGGGGTCTCTCGTCAGTGTGACTCTTCATGTGGCGGTCTAGATTGGAGCGCCGTGGACATGTGTAGCTGCAGAGCTCACACTGGAAGGTCTTCTTTACACCTGAATGTTTCCGTGACAGGAGATGATGCAGGTCAGAGACAGAATATGACTCTGGCGCAGTAAGACAAGTTTCACGACACAGAAGACAAGGCAACTTCAGACAAGGTCTGAACGAGCGGCGTGGCAGTGAAGGGACCATGCGGCCAGGAGGGCAGCCTTGCAGGACCAAAGCCTGCCGTCATGCCATTGTGAAACCTACACATTAAACCGTGTGTTTAAAGGTCATCAGTGTGAGAAGGGCCATCACACAGCCAGCAAACATTCATGAGACCAGGGCTCAGAGAGAACAGTCTTACCTTTCTTCTTGATCTTGGTGGGCTTGGGGGGTTTCATGTTACCCACCACCTTCTCAGCGTTGACCTCCGACAGCATGCCCTCCTGCTGCTCCTCCTCGAAGTCGTAGACTGACACATCCATGTCGCGGCCCTCCTCTGTGTTGTACCGCAGCCTGCTCTTCTTGGCCTTCTTCAGTTTCCTGGTCGGCGGCTGATAGTCAGGGTCCTCATTTTGCATCTCCAAGGGCTCTGGCTCATCTGGAGGTTGCAGCTCGTCCTGCTCCACTGTCTCCACCTCCCCATTGGCACCAACCTTCACCACCTGTTATGGATTACTAAGTCAGTGAACAGGGTTGGCTGTCTGGTCAGATCTGGTGAGGGAGTAATCATTTTACAAGCTAGTCACTCCATTTAGCGTCCTCAAACTCCTACCCTGAATTTCTATAGACCACCTAAAGGACTAAATTACATTTATTTGTATTCCCAAAAGCTGTTGCTCCAAAGAGCTTGACACAAATAACAGTGCCACTCACTGAGACACCACTGTGTGAGGGGACAGCAGTGTGAACTTAATAGTACAAGAAACAAAATTGCAGTGCATGACTAGGAAAACCCCTATGGGATGCAGTTGAGAGCAATGCATGGCCTAACCTGGAATCCTTCCGGCAGAGGCAGCGTGTGGCATATGATGGGCTCTCCATCCTTTGCCATGGTGTCAGCGGTGCCCACATAGGTTCCCTGCAGCTCATCCACCACACCAGGGCCACCAGCCACGGGCACTGTGCCAACCGGCACCTGCACCAGTTGCAGCCCGCCTAGGCCCATGCCTGCCTGCTCCTCCATATTGACCACCTGCAGGGTGATGATCTGCGTGTCGTCCACGGTTGCCGAGGTAGGCATTGCGACGCCCACCTGAGAGTGGGCCACTCCCACCTCCATGCCCTCGGGTGGCTTCACTTGCAGCAGTGCTTGGTCCACCAGGGAATCCACCACCATCATCTCCATTCCAGTGTTCATGCCCACCACGCCCACCTGCTGGGCTACACCTTGCAGAAGTTCTGCCCCCAACCCCTCGCCCTCATCTCCTTCCCGGCGCCGCTGGTAGGTCTTGCAGTCCTTGGCCTTAAAGGCATCGCCACAGTCGTCTGTGACAACGTCGGCTGGGTTACCTTCCATGGAAGAAATCTGAAGGAGAAAATGCAGTCACGTCCCAGCAATCCCTGGGTCAGTCTACTCAGTCTATAGATGCTCCTGGATCAGCCTCTCATCTAGTATCACTCAGCTTGCCATCCGAAATATCAATACGTGACTAAGAGACACCACAGGATGACGCTGGTTAGAACAGAAACCAAAATGAACACCACAGAGCACCACTTTCTGTGCGCTCTTTAAAGTAATACCCCACCCATTAAAAGGTGAAGCTGAGCTAAATCAAGGAAATCAGAGTTTGACCACTCCCTCCTTGGTGTGTACACTGATTTATAAACAATACGTGAAGCTGGTTCGAGCAGCCGCTGTGACAGCCATTGAGCCGACTCCCAGGACAATCTGGACAATTTAGATCAGGGGTGTCAAACTGCAGTCCTGGGGGGCTGGAGCCCTGTGTAGCTTAGTTCTTTCCCTGCTCCACCACAAACGGTTCAGCTCAAGAGCCGTGTGGTGATTAGTACAAGGGGTTGAACTAGGTGTGATGAGGGAAAACCCAAAAATGTGTGGGGCTCCAGCCCTCCAGGACACCTCTGGCTTAGATATATTAGTAAAATTTAAAAAGTGTCTCCTAAGTCAAAGGGCAGAGGCATTGTTGAGAGATTTGTCAGCTAAGGAATTAGCAGAAATAGACTGAATATTCACACCACAAGTGTAGTGCAAAATGGCACATTTGCTTTCACGAACAGGCCAAAAAACCTCATTCAGAAACCACAACTGATGGGTCAACTACTTCTGGCTGCCGTTAGATAAAACTACACCTGTTCAGCCTAGAACTACGTTTTCAGTTGGTGCAATTGTAAACTGTCTTTCTGTCACCGCAGCAGGCCCTGCCTTCCTGCATGGTAACTGATATCAACAGGAAACGACTCATCTCTGCGGAGCACTGGCTCAAGCCCAAAGAACAGAGTATGTACCTGGAGGCAAGGAACAGCTGTGCCTAAGGGAATCACAGACTTTCTGCTGAGTGTCACAATGACGCTGATCTGTCATACACACCAAAAGCCAGGTCACGGATGCACACCTCGTTTGGGCAACGATATCAGGGGACGCAGACTGTAGGCGATGTACTACGGTTCGTCTGAACCAAGACAGACTCGCAAGTCTACACATTTATTTCGTTCAATATCAATTTGCAGAAAAATTTGCCTGAGCCCTAAATGGTCCCATTCCTCTGGACACATGCCGAACTGCCCAGCCTGCAGCACCGTCCCTGGGATGTGTAAGTGCTCACCGGGCTGCGAAACAGCTCCGAGTACATCTGAACCGTACTAAACCCCGTCGTACGATCCCGAAGTCCTCCGTTAAGCTAGACGGGATCCGTGGGTGAGACATGACCGGGGTCTTGGATCTGGGTCTTTTCCGGAAACTAAACTAAAACCCGAACGGACCGAACCGAACCAGGATCGAGACCAAACGAGTCTAAGTCCGACGGGAGCTCCGACCGAGGAAAGCATCCGGTCACGCCGACTTCGCATTATGGGACGGGGACCCGGGAAAGTGACTGAGTATCGGCGCGTTCCAACAAGCCGCTGGTTTCTCTAAAGAGGAAACAAAGAGAGCAGAAAATGGAGGCCTGGCCTGGCCCCGACCCGGGAGCAGGAAGCACGACACGGCCGCCGCCCGCCTAGAATAAGGCCGCCATCCGCGGCGCCCCACAGTCGCTGAATACCCGAACATTTCGCCGAACTTCTGCGTTATAAGTGTTTTTGCTACATTTTCGACAACGATAGAGGGAGACAAACACCCCCCGCGAGCCACCGGAACCGCGAGCCCCATCGTGACACCTAGAGGCCGAACAAAGCTCCTGCAAAACCCCCCCATTCCTGAGAAGCTGCGCTCTTTTACCTCTCCGTGTCAGTTTGTTCTGTCCTCGGATTCAGACGAAAGTCTGGAGTCTGCACCCTGCTGCGTTTCGACGACGGTGCAACAAGGCGCCCTTCCTCGGCGGTGGTTTTAATCCTCTCTCGCTTTCGCAGAGTCGGGCTCCGCACAAAATGGCGGTCCCGGACCAGGCGGTGCGCGTGCGCGGACAGGGTCGCCCAGCACGAGGGGAGGGGCCGATGCGAGGGGCCGTGGTTTTAGGCGCCCATTTTGAATTCGAGCGGCGAGATGCTGCGGTGGCGATCAACGACCGTCTGCGAGTCTGGCACTTAGTCTTAAACAGTATATCTTCTTTTACATTTATAAACATATAGTCAAATTTATAATTAACTTGTTATAATAAATGAAAAATTTATTAACCATCTAAAGGAAAATGTCAACGTCACTCAATGTTCCGCGGCATATAAATGATTTATATTTGAAAACTCAAAATGCACCTGAACCGATTGAAGAATATATCTTTATCTTAAAAAACATCTTCCATTACAATCTGTTCAAAACAGCTTTACATGGAAGGTAACGGGCAATGGGTATAGATAATGACAAGCAGTCGCAACTATGATGTATCTAACAAAATCTAACAATCTTCGACATCCCACACATTCTATAAATAAAGAAAACGAAGTCGTTTTAAGTCATTTTATTTATATTTTGTCGGGCAATATTTATGTCAACTATATACAATTCATAGAAAAACAAAACACTCTACATAATTTCATACTGCAATTTTTAAAGGGAAAAAATTATATTCAGTTTTTCTGCTTTCACTGCAATTCTCAGTTTTTAAAAGTCTATAGCAGTACTTTCTTTTCATCATATAACTTCCACAGTAACTTAGGCACTTATCAGTTCCATTGCCCTTGATTTTAGTGTCCCAAAGAACAGCTACTAGAGGATCCTTCCGAGTTTGGTTCTGAAACCTGTCTGACTCAGGACAGTGAGCATCAGATCATCACACCCCAGGCGAGCCTGCAGTTGATCCAGTGATTTTCAAGGCAACAGTCCCCCAGTTACCATAATAAGCTTCACTGCTTTCAGACTTTCAGATAATCAAAGGAATGGTCAACACAGCAGAAACAGTCTTGAATTAAATGAACACTGGTTTAAGCCTGAGATGGTGTATGAAAGCCATATATGCGTGTCTCTCCATCACTTTTGCTGATGGATTTAAAAGCATTGATATTCAGTTATGACACAGAAAAATGTATGTCCATTTAAACAAAAAACACTTTAAAAAGCAAACACTAAGATACCATTGAGTTATGGCACATTTCTCCATGAAACCTTCCTTTGAGGCCCAGTGACTGCAGATCAAACGGAAATTCCTCAGAGCTCTAGTGGAACATCCCCGCAAAGATGCTCAACCCATAGCCTATCCTTTTTGCCTACAGATGGGAGGTCAATGTACAGTCTGCTCCACTTCCCCAGCCGCCTCTGCAGAGCTGAACTGGCGGGGAAAGAAGCACTCTCCTTACGTGCTTCTTCGGGAAGACAGGACTCTCCATTACACTTTCATTTATCGATATTTCTACCTTCAGTGTTTTAAATACAGAATTTCAGGACTTGTCTGTCACCGTGACACATTTCTTTTGCGTACTGGTTAATCTGTACTTTGAGTTTTTGTATTTTTCTTTTGTGTTAGTGTATTTTTTTAAGTTTATGAGTTTTTTGGTGTCTCAGTATGCGTGTGCTTGTGTGTCTTTTTTGTTACAAGGGTGGCAGGTAAGTGCGTTCTGAGAGACGGAGGTGTTCTCCTTGGTGCTATTGGGCAATATTAAGAAGGCGTTTCCAGGGTGCTAGAAGGCAATACTGGTTATGTTGCCAGGGGCGATGAGGCCTGGTCCAGCATCCTTTGACTCCTTGTGCTGGTTTGCCTGTTTGGTCTCCTCACCTGGGCAAATGGACGCATTTGGTCATGATCATACCAGAACTTCACAGCTCAGTCTCATAATCTCTCACTTTCAAAGCCAGTAGTTCAACTAAAAAGCCCCATTTTCACCACTACCCCACCTGCTGGTTGTCACTCAGTAGTCCCCAAAACATAGCATCACCCACAGACTCACCCTCCTTAGCCAGTTCAGTGATGTGCATGTCCAGAGAGGTCACACCTTGCTTCTCCAGGTAGCTGCAGAACTGAAACACTGTTAGCAGGTCTTGAGTTGCTTGTCCCTCTTCCTTGGGTAGGTGGTGTCCTAGGATCTGCTCTGCCAGCTTGACTATCGCTGCAGATGGGATGAGGGGCATAGTCAGCTAGGCTGATTTTAGCTTCATAAATTCAGCCCTGAAACAAACGGCCCCACTCCACCTGTGCAGTGATGCACATTCTATTGCTATTACAGCGAGGTCACGTGACCACACAGTCAGTTTTAATGAGTGGCACTGTACCCTGGAACAGCTTCAGCCAAGGTCTGTGCCAGAAGGTCCTCGCTGTGCCATGTGACCAAACCCCCCACCCAACCAGGGCAAGGCACACGAGCAGATGGTACCTTTGCTGGGTGAGCCAGGGGCTCCATCGGGCAGCTGGGCCTCACTGGTTTCTAGCAGTGCGCTGAAGAAGCTCTTAGAAGAGGCTCTGTACAAGTTGGGGTGGTCTGCACACCGTTTCCATAATGATGCTGCACCCTTGCACCGCTCCAAATGTGGCAACACTAACCCAAAAGTGTTGGGGGGGGGGGGGGTGATGATTATTATAAACAGCAGGTAGTGTAATGGTTAAAAGCTGTTTTCCAGTGTGGTGCATTTACTTTGGTCAATTGCAGCTAAGGATCTGGGTAACAGTAAAAGACTGCAGGTACGTTAAGAGAAGGCTAGTCATCTGGCTGCTAGTCAGGGGCTCCCAGGCCAACTCACCCTGGGTGGATGTGTCCTCACAGGAGACACAGAGGAGCTCCAGGGCTCGCACCTCCCTGGACAGGCATTCCAAGCTGAGCACCTCTAGAGAGCGACAGGGCTCAGAGGCAGCCAGCCTCTGCAAGGACAGCAGGACAGAGGTACAGCTGAGCCTGACCTACAGGTCAACGCTTTCACATTGCTTAATTAGGCCTTTTCCCTGTGTAACCACTGACCACCACCAGGTCTGAAGCACAGCAGGGAGTACTACAACAGGACCACGTCACAGCGATTGTGTTCATCTCTCAGCACTGGGACTCAGAGACCTATGAACACGGAGTAGGAGCAGTGGTTCCCAAGCTTTTTTGCACTGCGACCCAATTTTTATCATGGCAGCTCAGTCGCGACCCTATATCAAGGTTTAAATTAACTCTATTATCAAGCGCACAGTGCAATCGACAATTTATACCAATCAATGCCTATTGCACAAATCTGACTGGATGTGCCAGTGAATTTTAAATTTGCATCTGGGGTTTGGCTTCTTGAATTGGTTGAGTGTTCACTAGTTCTGCGCTAAGCATTTGCAGACCTGTTCATATAGATTAACTCTATGATTGGGCTGGGAAATCTGATCATGGGTCAGCATAGGAGCTTGCTGGTTTTAAAATTTCCAACTCTGCCTCGCGACCATTTCGAAACTTGCCGCGACCCAGATTTGGGTCGCAACCCATGGGTTGAGAATCTTTGGTGTAGGGTGTCCACTTCCTTTAACTTTGCCCTTACCTGAAGCAGGGAGCTGCAATTCTTCAACTGCACCACTAGAGCACAGTCCAGAGCTTGGCAGCCTGTGGTCAAGGGTTCAGCAAAAGTTCCACAACTCTGCTCTTCACACCCCTCCATCTCCACTAGCTCACAGGGGGAATCAGGAACCTCACTACACAGAGTGACAAAACAACGTGAGTTAGCAGCAAATTACTGCTATGGCCACGAGTGCCAAGGCAACAAGAACATTCAGTTAACGGGTAAATGATTTATAACATATTAATTATACATGATGGACATAAAGGGCCAAGTTGTGCTCTAGCAATGCACTCCTTCGCCACTAGGTGAAGCAGAGAACCAGCACCATGTGACACTTGTGTGGGAAACTCTGAGGGCAGAGTGCAGTGGGGAAGGAGACCTGTGTGCAGCATTCTGTCTCTTCCCCTCTTCCTGAGGTCCTTCTCCATCTTCTTCTTCCTCCTCCTCATCTTCCAGGAAATCAAAGCTCCCTAGAGCAGCCTCAACTGTCAGGGTGAGACGGGAGGAGCAGCCCTGCATGGGTGGGACACACATGTACACACACACACACACACACACACACACACACACATTACTGATTGTGCCTGAAGGCCCTTCAATTCCATCGAATGCTGTGCTTTATATTCAATAATGGCAATTTAACCATGGCCTTTCTGGCAGATGTCTGTTTTGTGGAAACTGGAATCGGGAAGCAGGCATAGGCAGAAATACTTCTTTTCTATTCAACTTCATTGAAGGTCATTTAAAAGATTTGAATACAGTGACTTAGAATAAGGAACTAAGAAAATCCTCCTTCCACGCTTATCCACTGTAAATCAGAAGAGAAATGACTCAGTGATGTGTGCTCAGGCCTCATGCAGTGATACTCTGGATATTCAGTGCAAAGGTGGACCGGGTGACCGTGGAGTGGAATTCTCATCTAAATAAAGGCCATAATTAGCGAAACTCCACATGGAGAACCAGAGGCTCTACTCCTCATACTAGAGGCTGCTGACCTGCTTCTGGCTTAAACAAAACATGAAAAGAGGAAGTTAACTTGACTGCTACTGCCCATTTCTCATACTGCATACTCTGCATTACACTCAGTGAGAGACATCAGGCATCCCCTCACTGCAAACATACAAGGGCCCACTTAGTTTAGGGCTATCATAATCCCATCCACAAAACTCCAAAGCCACATGTGGAACAACCAATCAGATGCCACATGGCAGTCACACGATAACTCTGCATTAAAAACATGCATAGAAAGTCCAGAGATTACTCATACTCACCGGTCAAATGATCATTTTATCACTTGATAATGACCCTAACAAAACATGGCTGACTTAAGAGGCCTGAGCGATACACCCTTATTATTGTTATTCCCGCTGTTAAATGGCTGTACCACTAATGTCAAGTAGTGTCTGCAACCGAGCCCCAGCAAGGGTGGAGTCACCCAATGGGATTGGTCACGACAGGTAGAGTCTCAAGCAGGCCTGCCCCCGATGCTACTCACAGTCAGAGTCTCCTCCAGGTGCCTCAGTTCCCGCTCCAGAGCCTGCAGCTCCGGAAACCGCCCCAAGCAGCTGTCCAGGGCAACGCTAGTCATTTTCAGTGCCTCCTCCACCATATTGTCCACAGGCTGGGGATCCACACTAGGTGTCAGCACAGAGACTTCCTGCACTGTCCCCTGCAGGCGGGGCATTTCTATCATGTCCTCAAGTCGTGGTGCTGGCAGGCCTGTTCTTAGGACCTCAGAGCGGTCTTCTTGCAGGACTGCTCCAGGCCCAGAGGTAAAGTCCTCCTTGGCTTGACTGCATTGCTCCTTCCATGAGACAGGCTCCGAATCAGTCAAGCCAGGCCCCACCTCCACCTGGACAGTCCCCACATCTGCCAGACCAAACTCCGCCTCCCCCGGAACAGTCCCTGCCTCCGGTTCAGCCACCTCCAGTCCTTCAGCAGCTGCCAATGGTGACAAAGTCTCATTCTGATTCTCAGGCCCAAATGGAGCCCTGGTCTGCAAAGAAAGCTCTTCCTTCTCCGAGGAATTCACAAACCCTAGAGCTGCTGGTGGCTCCAGGACTGCAACTTCAGGGGCATCCGATGACCCCAGAGTCTCGGTGACAGTATTGTTAACACTGGAGGCTGGTATCTCTGCCAGCACCTCGTCTGCGCTGCTCTCACTGATGTGGCTTAAGGACCGGCAGCGACGGCCATGCCCATTGGCCACTTCCAGCTTCCCGGAATCCTCCTCTTCTCTCACCATACCACTGTCGGTATCCTCTTCCTCTCCCTCTTCTTCCTCCTCTTCTTCCTCAGGATCACCGGTGGACTCACGGGGAGTGAAGGAGATTTGAATGGTGGGAAGGGCGGCCCGCAGCTCCGGCTGGACCAGAGTCTTGTTGGCGTGGCGTGCTCCCAGCGAGGGCTGTGGGCTGGAGGAGTCATCAGAAGACTCAGAGGAATTGGACCAGGCTGTGCCGTTCTCCATCTCTTCCTGTCTCCGTAGCATATTCTACAAGAAGGAGAAACAGATGAACAGGGAGGCTAAAGTAAAAATCAACAGGAATGCAGTAAGCATTCCTGCCCTATAAATGTCACAGGCAGGAGCGGAGTCAAATGTGGTGAGAGTAACCAGGGAGGGCAGAGTGCTGAATCAGCCGCCAGGGCGTACAGCAGGCAGTTGCATCTCTTTAACTCTGATCACTAGCTTCACAGGCTTCAGAAGAAAGCGTACAGGTCAGGGTAGCCAGGTGTCAGCTGAATACTCACAAAGAAGACCTGCTCACGCAGCGAGGGTGTGTCCGGTGGGCTCTGGTTGTAGCTGGCTAAGCGCTTGGAGACCGTGGGAGCTTTGTTAACCGTGCCTGCAGATAAACTCTGCTCATCCTTGTCGAAGGGGCTGAGAGACAGAGAGGTCCTGTTAGATTTCTTCATATACAATTTTCGTTGCATTTTCAACATCGACACATGGAGCTTTTCCACTGCCACCAAGAACCGAGCCGTACTGAGAACTGGTTGTTTTCCGCTGGACATTATGTGAGACCTACCTATGCTGACATGGCCCTGCTTACTAGCATGACTAAACCGAGTTGGTTGCATCACCACCATCTGATTGGTTGAAATGCAGGGAAATACTGGTGATCTGCATCGATATGCATGGATTATCTAAAGAAAAAAGGGCATATTCTATATATTATTCATTATTACTAGTATGGCACATTGTGATGCATCCCCAATAACTCAGAACTTCCAACCTCTTACTTACAAAAAGTACTAGAATCAGCTGGTAGAAACGGCTGAATGGAATGGATTTGTGATTCAAACTGACGCAAGTAAATGCTAATTCTGCTAGTGTTTGATGCTAACATAACACTAAAATTCTCAGACATGCTAGTGGAAATCAGTGCATAGTAAATCATGATGTAGACCATGTGAACAGTAAAACGTCTCCTCAGTTTCAGAACACTGTCACTCTCCAAACCCGGCAACGCCTTTACTGAGCCAATCCTTCAGCAGTGGAAAATCAAAGCAAGCTGAAACCACGCTGTAACCAGTGTCTCTTCGCAGTACGGTTCCTGTATGCCAGTGGAAAAAAGTGCCAATAGATTCTGTCACACAGATGGATCTCTTGAGGATACAGAACTGGCCAGTATTATGATTACAGGAATTATAAGAAGCTCTTGTCTTTGCTAATATTTTCAGGTTAGTGTTCAACTCCTTAATCAATGAACACCTCCTAGCAAATGCTTTGAATCCATTGAAAACATTAGGACTAAAGTATTCATCAACTCAAATTCAGTGTTGTCCTAAAAAAGTTCCTCTTGGAAACAAGGACTACTGAACTAAAGAGCTCATCTAAAGAGCTACATCATAAGACAGGGCTGCACAATATTACCACCATCACAGTATCATCAAATCGGGGCCCTGACCACGCTAATGTCTACTATTAGGTATTGTCAAACCATGGTAATTCATGCTAACGTGCTACCATTAAACCTGGGCCCTAGCCACGTTAGCATCTCCTATTAGGTTTTATCAAGCCAATTCAATTCATGGTAATGTGCTACCATCAAACCTGGACCCTGGAATGATAATGTATTCTAAAGCAGTACTGTCAGACATGTAATCTAATGCAGCACCATGGGACCTAGGTCCTGGTCGTCTAAATTTTGCTAATACAGCACAACTAATGCTACACTTCACGGTAACACATGCCATAATACCACAAAACCTGAGAACTGGCAGTAGTAAAGCACAGCCTGTAGCGAAATTTCACACCCACTCATAGGCCGAAAATGAAAAATTTGGAAGTGAATTTAACTTTGATTTAAAGGGAAGAGAGCATAGGAACAGAGAGTGTAGCATTGAGAAGGAGAGATGAGATTTGGGGAAGGGGAACCCACTTCCAGGTGACCTCCAGACTCAGTTTGACGGTCCCCAGGTCATTGATGTCGACGGCCACCATCTGGGGCTGCGGCGTGAAAAGGTCCTTGGTCTCGCACGACACGCTCCCCACCACTACGTGATTGGCCAGGCTTTTCAGCTCTGTCACCTTGGCAACACCAGCGGACAACTCAGTCAGAAAAAGCCTCATCCCTCCATTAACACCCAGAGTTAGGACACTCCACACTCAGCAACAGTGGGTTACTCGCGGTCGCTAAAACACCTTGATGGACAGGAACTCCGTGACGAGTGGCATGAAGACCATCTCCTCGCTGTCCCACACCTGCCGGCCGTTAATCTCGATCCGACCCCTGAGTTTCCAGCGCTGCCGTCCATACTTCATGAAGATCTGGGTTTAGGAAGAAGACAGTCAGATGCTGGTTTACTTATAGAGGCTGGCGCACCAGTCTTCCTGCCAGGACACTTCAGGGCTCAAGCTGACTAACGGCACTGACTCAAACACACCGGGCCGTCACTGGGCCTCATGCATTATCCCGTTAGTGCTCCCGCTGTTCGAATTTCTCTCCAGACCAGAGGAAAGGCGAAGGCAGAGGAAAGGTGGGATGAGATGGAAAGAAAAAGGAGAGTGATGTACAAACCTCATACTGATCTCCCGCACAGAGCCTGGCAAAGCCAGCGAGACCTGCGAGAGAGAGAGACGGGGCTTATTCTATCACAGGGCCACAAACAGAGTGAGGGCATGTGTGTATCTGTCTATGAGCACTCAAAGGCCACCTTTCATTTTGATGCGAAACTCCCCCAGCTGGCTCTCCAGTTCGCTCTCCAGGATGCACATGCTCTGTTCATAGGGAGGTACAGAAGACACAATGATGTACTGACTAAAATCCCAGCACCGGCCTGCCATTACACGACCTCCTTCAGCCCCGCTCTTACCTCAGTATACTCCCGATAGCCCTTGTGCGCCTCTGTCAGGCTCTCCCTGGCCTCGCGGCTGCCAGGAGAGGAGGTGTAGGCCTTCACCATCCTGCTGGCTCCATCACGCAGCCGTCTCTGCATGCAGTACGCCTCGTACAGCTCATCCACCTGAAGAGTAGATGCTCAGTGGTGACAGCATGTTAAGACAGAGCTGTCTACAGCTACAGCTGGCCTCCAATACATATCCCAGCAGGCTTTGCACACCATCAAGTCCAAAGAGTCCAAGATCTGAAAGCCCTGCGCACCAACTAACACCCCCAAGCTTTACTTAATCCAAGCATAAATCTGTCGTGCAAGGATGTTTGTGGACAAGAGCATGCTGGGGGATTTTACCTTGCTGAGATGGAACTCCAACCGTCTCACAAACCTCTCGATGACCTTCACCTGCTGTTTGGAGGTGCACAAAAACAGTGTAAAGCTCCCAAAGCACCCCCCCCTTTGCGGTCTCTGAGAAAGCAGATGGAGAAAGCTAGTTCACTCACCTTGTCCAGCTCATACAGAAAACCCTGAAATATAACCATGATCACAAGTTACAGCCAGCAATCAACAAAACCAACTGAAATGCTGACAGGGGCTTGAAGGCCCAGACCCACACAGCACTGCTCCCAGTCTCACCAGTCTGGAATTTCTCTTGGACTCCCTCATCTGTTCCCCCAGGTTCTCCAGTTCCAACTGATGAACCTGCAGGTAGGCCCTACAGGAGATACACAATGCATCAGCTCAATTTCTGTTCATTATTTCTTATAGATAGTTTATTATTGTTAATATCAATAAATTATGCCAGAGTTTAACTCCTGACTGTATACCTTGCATGTAAATATATATATATTTTTAAATTTATCCCTGACTGTCAAAAGCTGCATTTTTTTGCAGAATGGATGACACACGCTTGTATGCTGGAGTTAGGGCTGCACGATTTATCGATTTCAAATTGAAATCTCGATTTGAAACAATACGATTAGCAAGTCGCAAAAATTGCAATTTAGGATATACATTATACAGCACGTCGGACCCAGTGTTTAAAACTGCTGTGAGAATAGTTTTACAAATTCATGCCATGCTCCCTGTGTGACAGTCATTCTCACCAATCACAAGCGCCGTGCTTCTCGCGTGCCAGTCATGCTCACCAATCAGAAGTGGCACAAGAAGACGTATAGGCCCACAAACAGCAAGATGTGCTGAAAAATACTGATTCCACTACTGAGCTATAAGTGAATCGCTTTCCTATTTCATGGTCCGAGATTGTTTCAGAAAGGTCCTATCATCAATAGAACCGGCGAGCTCCTTTTAAACACGAGCTGCAATATATTCCAGAGTATCATACCTTTGGTTTTTGTTAACAGGCAATAGCATTAGTATACCGCTAACCCATCAAAACAACGAGACATTCAGTAATTCTCACAGCAGCGGAGTCGGTGACCTCCAAAAAAGCCGCAAAACCCACAATACAGTCGTGTTTATGTCATATGTTTTTGTGCTTATTAAATTTAAGTGTTTCAAAAGATGAATCCAACAACAGTAATAAAATAAAAGTCTTGCTTTAACATAAATACTAAAAGAATAGATCGCTTTAATCGCTATTACAGTTGGGAATGGGCACGCGGTCTTATTTAGAAAACATACAAAAAGCGACGCATATAATGTTTAATCATTTGTTTTGTATTTGTCCGAGTAACAATGCAAAGGAATGATAAGCTGCTTCAGTCGAAAACTGCATTTTACTTCTCATTTAAAATAAAATGCAGGGTTGGCAGCTTCGGTCAGCTGCGTGGAGTTAGATTTTCTGTTCTCTTGCACACACATTTACATGTATGTACGTTTTATTACCTTGTAAATAGTCTGTAGGGTTTGCAAACTGCCGTAACGTTTTTGATGCAGCTAGTTTTAAGTTCAGAATGGAATATAGATTTGCCGTCTGAAATAGTTTGTAACCATGAACACGTACATTTTTTGTTTCACCTGAATTGATTTGTATAGAAAATAACGTATACAGTTGTTAAAAAGCGGAAACTTCAACCAACATGAAATCACCAATAAACGACTTCTATTTATTCAACATTTTATAAAATGCATACTACGTTTAAAGTTTTCTAGCTTTACGATTTCAGGACAGAACAGCCATTCTGTTATGAACATTATGGTTTTCCTGAGTGTTATTAGTGTTAATAACAGCAGCTAACAACACAACAGCGCAAACAAAAGGGCTGCATACACCGAAGTAGTTCTTGCTTGTTCATTGGCGTGGGAAAAGGCGGTTCTAGTGTTATTAGGAGGGTAATAAGCGTTACCTGCAAGATCGCTATTTTTCTTTTTGCTGCAATTTTTTCATTATTACTTTATTTAACTTGACACATCACATCTTTAAATTCTCATCCTTGCATTAGAATATAGACCAGTTAATACTGATGGTATCTCATGCTACGTCATATGTTTTAAAATCACTACACACTGAATATTGAACTGAAGCTTGACATTAAAAAAAATTCAATCGCAAATCAGATCGTAATCGCAATTTCTGTCAGAAAAATCGCGATTCGATATTTTCCCCAAATCGTGCAGCCCTAGCTGGAGTACTGCACGTGACGTGCGTATTACGAGAGCGTGAGGGGTCACCCACCGCAGGCCTCTCTTCAGAGCCTCGTAGACCTCATCCAGCCTCTCGGGTTGGGGGACCTTTGGGGGAGGAGACTTTGTGGAGAGGGTGAACATCTTGCTTCTTCGAGGGGCCTTCCTCACGCCGCCTGAGGTCTGAAACACGGACAGGCTCCTGAGGAGGAGACGTCCCCTCACCATTAGTACCAACTGAGCTGGAACGCAGTCGGTTTACACCCCGATGCTGATTGTCAAGGAACCTCTGATCACTACAGATCGCATGGGACCACAAAGGAGCAACCAGTGTTCTGAGGACATCTCTCACAGCTTTTGGTCCACCAGTTAAGGCAGCCTAACTGCATATTGACTTCCTCAAGGTGGCATGACAGGAAGTACTCTCTGCTGCAGATCTGGCAGCCAGCAGAGGGTAATTAATGCCCTCAAAAGCAATGCTGATTGATGAGTCCCGGCACAACAGGAATCTTTATCTGAAATGTTTCTACAGGCTGTAATCCATCTCCTCTCTTCACGTTGTCATGGTGACACTGATGATGGAGGATTCTCTTATAGAGCTGGTGAACTGAACATGTCGACACGGGCTGACCCAGGCTGTCTCACCTGAAGGATTGCGGAAGGGCCTGGACTCCTGAAAATGTCTGGCTCCTAATGACTGATCTGGAGGAGATTTGGTGGGACGCACGCATGGACTGGGACATGGCAGATGCTGGGGAGGGGCTCCCTGTATGAGACAGAGACAACAGGTTCAACCTCTCAGGGCAGCAAGGACCGGAACACTCGCAGTAAACTGAAAACAACGGTAAACACAGTAAACGGAAGCGGATTCCAGCCCAGCCCTTTAAGACACACCGGTCACTTGAAGCAACACCAGGTTATTTACAAACAAGCAGTGACAGAGCACGACGTGACCTGGCAGTCTTCATTATTTACACAAACAGCCACTCCAGAGGCCAGAGGGACACTGCCAAGTTTCCAGAGTCCCCGTTAAAAGTCAGAGCGAGAGGGGTGCGTTTGGGCCATTAATGGACTAAAACAGAACCAAGAATACAGAGACGGAAGCAGGGGCTACATCGGAAAAGCACCCCGAGAAAGTCCCAGCTGTAAAATCTGAAACATGCAGAATGTAAACAGAGAGACCCTCGAGAGTGTATGGGTGAGGGACTGATGTTTAGCTTACACACAAACAAGCCTCTCGGGGCAGGGATGCTCTCAGAAAACTGTCAAGTACAGCAAGGGAAGAACCCGCACGCATCTTCAAAAGGAAGCTGAAATGCGACTTGACCGCCATGTTCCCAGACAAGCAGGGGAACAAAACCCCCCCCCCCCCCTTTACAAAAACAAAAGACAATACAGATCAGGCGATCCCTAAGTAACACTCAGGTGGCTTTGATAAGGGCATCCTCAGACAGCCAGCCACTCACATCCTGGCTCACGCAGATTCCCTCCCCACAACAGATGGCAAAGTAAGCAAACGAGGCAGATGTTTCTGCAAAACATGTGCTGCGACAGAGCACATACTTCCTCCTGTCTGTCCCATTCTTTCTGGTGACTGTTTCAAATCCGGGGGGGGGGGGGGGAATTTTCCCCCCCCCCCCCAACTGTCAATCACAGGCAGGCCACACCCACAGGGGGATGTCATTTACTCTAACATGGAGACACTGGAATCAACACCGGCCAGATATCCCCCGTATGTTACATCTTTTTTTTCTGTCTGTCCAGATTCCAGGTCAGTGATATATGATACACACAAAGTAACAAGAAGGAATTCACTGGATCACGGCAGAAGGTGAACAGGGCTGTTTCCATATTATCCTGTGTAAGGTGAACCTAAAGATTCACTAATATGAAAAAAATCACCAAACAGCACAACAGAAACCACAACACTGCGAGGTTTATATAAAAGAGTGAAGCTCAGAGAGGGGGGATCTCAAAAGCTAGTTTAAACCAGTTTTTTCATAAGGAGAAAAGAACCCGTGGATGTGTGTGTGTGATCCCACAGGATACAGGCCGACAGACAAGGCCCATCCCCCCGCCATCCCCACCCCAAACAGGGTAGGCGACTCACACGACCATCTCAAAACTCCCATAATCACCTTCTTCATTTTCCTCTTGAGCAGCCACAGCCTCAGTGATGACGTCATCACAGGACTCAGCCTCTCCCAAGCAAACAAATTTCCATGGAGCAACAAATATGGAAGAGAGCAGTGGCACCACAGAGAAGTTTCCGGATCCCTTATATCTCCCCGCTGCCCTCAGACGTCAAGGGAGACAGACGGGATTAAAATCCGTCAAGGTGGAAGTACTCTCCACTGTCACATGGTGTAAGTTAGGCTGAGGGGACCGGAGCGGTATGTCGGTCTCTCTCTCTCACACACACACACACACACACACACACACACACACACCCCTTCACTTCCTCTTTTACACTGGAGTTCTTTCTTGTCCCCACATAAGGCAGCACCAACCACACGTCACCACACAGGACTATGGATATGGAGGACTGGGAGTCAAATCCTATGAACTGGTGCCAGTTTCCTTAGAAATGCTGCATTTCACGATCATGGACAGAAGGGGATCACCCCAATCTGCACCTTACCCTAACCCCACGTAGCATGCCCCCTCTGGGGGTTATTCCTCAAGGCCACACACCTGTCAACGGATGGAAGAATCACAACGCTCAGGATGAGGGCAACGCCACTTAGAGTAACTCCACGGGCAATGAAAATACCTCTCACAGCTGGACCTTTTAAACTAGCCTTTGTCATGTTATAGCCTGACTTTTGTAAAACATGCACAGAATGGAAAATGGTTTGAGGCATTAGAGAAATAATGGCGCCTTCTAGCACCATGACAGGATGATGCCACACCAGAGGAAGCTTCCCCCCCACGCCTAGGCCATGACCTGCCCTGACCTATCACAGCTCCACCGCAGGACAGTGCCCGTCGCCCATGCGGTTGGCACCTCTGCTCACTCAGCCCCCGCTCAGAGCCGCACATCCGCGCCACACATCTACATGTGAGGGCACAAATGTTTCCTTTTAAAAACTTCCCAAGCAGAAGACTCATCCCGAAGGTGGGTTTAAATGGCACAGAGGATAGCTCCTCTCCCTGAGCGTGACCCAATTCGCCCTAATGCTCCATAACAGTTTGTGTTGATGAAATCATTAGCCAGATTAGGGCTCTCCATTCCGGCCCGCACAAAGGGTCATTTGTCGGGGCTGACCGAATGCGCCCACATATGGAAGGCCACGCAAAGGGCTGGATGTGGGTGGACTGGAAGCCCTGGGAGGATGTGTCCGCCCTGTTATGAAGACCTGACGACTATACCTCAGCAGCACAAGGTTTTATGCAACGTGTAAGCTTTTCGGAGAAATCATACTGGAGGGCACTGGTTCAGTGTCACACACCAAAGCTTTAAGACGCATCATGTGTGGGATTAATAACCCATGGGAAAATTCTCTCAGACTGCTGCATTCTAAATCCCAACTCCAACCAAGATTAGCGGTAAACAGCTATAATCTTTCTTCCAGATTTTCAGAAGCAGTAAAATGGCAGAAAGCAGGAATACCCACAGTAACACAGGCTGTGCAACACCCCCACCTGCCAGCGAAAGCAGGCCTGTGAAATTAAGAATATCCAGTCAGAACTGTATTTATGATTAACGTCCACTTATATGAAAATCGGCAAGACGCTACGATCCACCGCAGCTGAGAGGAAACGTGGCTTTAAAAAGACTGCCGAACTTAGCTACATTTTCCGCCCTTAGAAAACAAGCGGAAAGCTGCATGGATCAAGTTTTTAAAGTGCCGTGTATGTGAGGAGGAAACGCCAGCACACCAGGCATCGAAACCCTACGCTTTGTAATGCAACAGACCCTTTAAGTAACACTTTGATCGCAGCCGTGGCGGCTGGCCGACACCAACCGGTAGATACTTTGTTGCGGATCGCCGAGCTCCCGCGATTCCCGGGGTTGAGTAAACTATGCGCCCCGTGGATCGGGATAAATCCCGGGTGTGAGCAAGCCCCATCTCCCGCAGCCTCGGATCCCGGCGTGTTTGTGTCTGTACCCTTACCCACCCAACCCAAACCCGCCATGGGGACGTAGGGGCTGCACTGCGATCCGGGCGCGTCAGAAGCAAAAACCGACTCGGGCGTGCGTGTAAAGCCGAGTTCGCTCCGTCTCCGCACGGCTTCCCTCGCGTATCTCATGCGAAAGGGCTGCGCCGTTAGAAAAGCCGCAATCAGGAGAGCAGCCGGTCTAAACGATAAAACCGGCACTGGGCATCAAACCAGCACGAGATAACCGGTAAGAGTACGTACATGTTTAAAGTTTGCGTGTGCAGCGCCGATCCAAACCAAAATGGTCGGTTCCTTGGTGATCGAAGACGGAGGGTCCGTATTTGTGAGCTGTAGCTGCAGCACGATACTGACAGTCGGTCCAGGCGAAACGCCCTCCTCCCCACCTCCTCAAAGCTGCTGGCAACTCTGAGATCACGGCCCCGAGCAGGGCTTTGGGGCTGGAGTCGGGTTAAACGTCCACGCACGTCGTCGGGAGTGTGACCAGGTCCGATCGGCACGGATTCACTCGGATGGACAGAAAGACAGACACAAAGCGCAACACGCCTGTCCGCAATGGACACCGCGGACCGCTGTCTGTCTGCTCCGATCTGCTCAAGCCCTTTGGTGTAGTCCTCCGGCAGCCAGGGAGGGGAGCTCAGAGCGGAGGAACTGGGCGGATTCGCACTTTTCCGTTTTGTGGAATGGAAGGAGGTTGTCCCCCCTTCCCGATTTACTCACTCTCCCCGTCTCCTCCCCGTCCTCCCCGATATCATCCACAAAGCATCCGGCTGCTCGCGGGCAGGAGTGGCGGATGTCTGTCATTAACTTAACCACGTTAAAACAATGCAAGTTCTGCCCAAGCTACAGATTTCACGTCGAAAGTTAATTAAACTGACACTGAGTCACCAACACTGAGTTCATGTTTTGGAGAGGTAACTGTTCGTGTCCTCATCAAACCCGAGAAAGCAAACGGGGAGGGGGGGTGTTACTCGTCTATATTTTCAATATTATTTTGTGCATAATATCATAGCGCATACCATATACAATACCATTTCCAAAAAAAGTTGGGGCACTGTGATGTTTGTAAATAAAAACCAAATTCAATGATTTGCAAATCATATAAACCCGTATTTAATTGAAAATAGAACAAAGACAGCATATCAAATGTTGAAACTGAGAATAACAGGTGGAAATCTGAGACAGCATTATGAACTTCAGAGGATAGTGCCTATAATGGCGACCGTGATTCGCAATATTAATGGATTAAGTGATTCTTCTATTAGGTATTTTTATACACGTATTTAAATGGATTAAAATAAAGCCTAACGTCAGGAATCAACAGAATAAAATTTTCATTTGAGTCACTGTGTGAGGGATATGCTAAACAAACCTATAGGACACAGATCTGTCTGGGGCAGTACGAATTCTCACTTACGAGGACAGCTCTAAAAGCGGACCACAGTGAAGATGGGGTGTGCTTCAGTACTGGCCCTTGTACTCAGCAGTGCCCCCCTTAGGCAGGCATACACACACACACACACATGTAGGGTAAACATATCCTTATGGGGACCGCTCATTCATTTCAATGGGAAAAATGCTAACGCTAACTATGACAACCTTAACCCCTACCCTGCTCTAACCTTAACCATAAGTAACCAAACTAAATACAACAGTTTTGGCATTTTTATTGCTTTGATTGCAGTCACAGATTTTTATTTAAAAAATGAGTTTCTCTATGTGGAGACTGAAAAAACAGTCCCTATAACATCAAAAATGTCCCCACAATGTACAATATACATTACACACACAGACACGTTGTGACCGTGGCTGCCCATACCTACAGCTCACCCGTATCTCAGCCCATTTAGCCTTGCTCATTTTCCCCAGAATAGGTTCTCCGAGACGCTCACACAGCCCTTGATGACTCCAAATAGACTGTCATGAAATGGAGCTGCAGCAGACTTCATTGAGGCCGCTGAAGTACTCTGCAGCCCACACTCAGGGGCTAAAGGCCCAGGAGAAACGTGCAGGAAGAAGAATTTCACAACAAAAACAAGTCCCGTCCTGCCGGCGGCACCGCTAATTCCAGACGTATCGCCGAGATAGCGGGTGACTACGCACGGTCTCCATAGCAACATCGCTCAGCACAGAACTCACTCAGGGGCAATGAGGAGGCCACGGGGTACCTGGAACAGAGATTTGGGATCACAAAACACGTTCACAGTGTGCCGGGTGCCCGCTGGCTTGGCTTGCCCCATAAACTGGGAGTTGTAAGGTGAGACAGCTCGGTGTCCTGTGACAATTTCCTAATGATCTTAGACCGTTAACTGCAGGAGCCCCGTGTCTGTCTCAGGTAATAATGCACAGAGAGCGGCCACCGTGCAGCCAGGACAATATGCCACAGTCCTTGGCTAAAAGCTCGATTCACCCACTCTGAATGTGATGACTGGGGCTGCCAGCCGTCAATCATGAGAGACTGAATCACTCCAGCAGCGCTAAGCTGAGCTCTGCCTGTGACGTGTCTCTGTAATGCTGTGAGGGAGCTTGACTGAAACCATCACTTCCTGTCAGGCTTGGTCTGGACCATCACTTCCTGTCAGGCTTGGTCTGGACCATCACTTCCTGTCAGGCTTGGTCTGGACCATCCTGTCAGGCCTGGTCTGGACCATCACTTCCTGTCAGGCCTGGTCTGGACCATCACTTCCTAATTTCTAACCAATCTTAAACTAAACTCATGCACAAGCTTATCTCATGCAGAACACCAGACATGGTAATGAGACCTACCAGGGGTTGTGGAAGACACATTTTTAGAGAAAGAGAGAAAGAGAGAGAGAGAGAGAGAAGACAACTGTCTCTTTGCTGTAGTTCTGCTTGTGCCCATATAAAAGCCTGAGGAAAGGGAGGTCTGCTGGGGGAGACTCCATCCCCCACAAACATACACATACTGATAATGCTCTACATGATTCCTATCTCCTCCCTAACAGCTAGACCTACACAGTGTATTGTTCAGGGTTTACTTGGAATGTACACACACTCACACACTTAGATTATATGAACTTTATTGATCCCAGAGGGAATTTCTTACAAGCACACATCTGAATCCCTTAAAGGAATTCAAAGCAAATCAAAGAATCTTAGACAAATTCCAGCAGAACTCAAAAACAGACAGAAACTGATAATGAACAAAAGTCTTCATGATTTTTGAAAAATGTGTCTCCAGAAAGGGGCAACATAATGGTTAGCACTGTTGCCTTAAACCTCTGGGCCCAGGGTTCAAGTCTCCACCATGACTCCATGTGTGTGGAGTCTCCCCCGTATCATTGTGGAGTTTCCTTTGGGTACTCTGGTTTCCCCCCACGGCCCGAAAATATGCTGAGGGCCATTGGAGTTACTGAATTGCCCATAGGTGTCCCTGTGTGAGTGAATGTTGTGTGAGTGTGTCCTGTGATGGGCTGCTGCCCCCTCCTGGGTTGTTCCCTGCCTTGTGCCCATAGCCACCAGGATAGGCTCTGGACCCCCAGAACCCTGAATAGGACAAGCGGTTACAGAAGATGGATGGTGACCCCAAAAAAAGAGCTAAGTGCACAGACACAGGAAGGAGCAAACAAATGCATGCATGGACATGGGCCTTGAGATCACTAGTTCAAGCCCCAGCCTCACCAGAATAGTCACATGTTTGTGGGCCCGTGAGCAAGGCCCCCTAACACCCTCCCCCCCCCCCCCCCCCCATGTTAGCTGATGCTGCGCTGTGACCCCAGGTTTGNGTCACATGTTTGTGGGCCCGTGAGCAAGGCCCCCCCCCCCCCCCAGCTCCAGGGGCACTTTATGTTAGCTGATGCTGCGCTGTGACCCCAGGTTTGCACTCATCTGTCTGTGTGTCTCATGAAAGAGCAAGATGGGGTAGGAGAGAAGCATCCCAAAGTACCTGTGCAAATAGGAGGGATTTAACAAGTATGAACCTCATTGCCTAACCTGAGTATAGCAGCTAGATCAGTCCCAATGATCCCAGTAACCACACAGCTGGCATACTGGACTTGCTGAAGGAAGACAAGAACATATTTACAAATAATGCATGTTAAACAGCGTACCTGCTACCTCCTAACCCCAAGCCCTCCATCTCTGCAGGACTCCAACCCATGTTGCTCTGGCTCCCTCCATTCTAGTTTTGCATTCCTTCGCTTTCTGAATAACGCGGAATGTGTGCTTGTTTTCAGGGGTGATCATTGTTAAGAATCCTGACGAACGGCATTTAAACATTACATCACAGGTTACGTGTCTGTCATGGTCATATGGAGTGACCTTGGTCTTCTTGCTGTCGGTGACGTAGTACCTCAGGGTTCGGTTCCATCGCATCCTGCAGTTCTCCCATCTGCCGCAGTCGAGGACCGACGGCCAGTGCCGTGCACACGTGGGGACACGCGCACACTCAGCGGCATGTGCGGACCCAGCGCCTTAGACCCCATCGACCCAAAAATGTGTCCGAGGAGCGTGACTGCTGTTCCCTGAAGATGCTGACAGACACGCCAGCACATTTACTCACCCTGAGAGGGCCAGTGCATCCGGTCAGAGTTGGGAGTGCGTAAAGGACAGCTGGGCGGGGGGCGGAAGGACAGGTGGGGACCCAAAGGAGGGGCTATGGCACGGCGTGTGAATAGTCCAGGTAAGGGATTTCACCTCCTTGTTCCTGAAAGTCATCACTGCTTGAATCCTGGACCTCCTAGAATGTCACACTCGTCCACCCCTCTCCCTCCCCTCTTCGTCTGGCAGAGGAAGTCAGGTCATCGTTTGCTAAAGGGTATCTGAGTCAGCAGTGATTTACTGTCTTAATTTCACTGGAGTGACCCCACACCGGGCCCATGTCGCCATGACTGCAGTGCGCGATGATGTACCGCTTTTGAGGAAAGAAAGGGAGGGAGCAGGCAGGAGAAGAGAGGAGGATAAGGAGAGGGGGGAGGAGATGCAGTCCCAAAAGAGGGGGGGCTGTCCCACGCTCTCTCTACACTGGAGATCGCAAACCCTGTTCATGTTTGCCGTGGGGTCTCCCCAACCCCCAGACACTCAGGGGAACAGCAGCTTGGTCCGTCCTGAAACCCGATAGGAGATCTACCCTAATGGCCCCCCCCCCCACCTCCCCCGGCCTTTTATCATGAAAATTCAGCGCCTGAGCCTCAGCAGAGCTACAGTGGGAGCTGACGCTGGAAGTTGGTCCTTACAGAGCTCGAAAGGGACATTTAAATATAGACTTAATGACAGAGCGGCCGACATATTTTTACCAGACATGTTGTAACGCTCTGCAGGCACCATCCCCACGTGGTTGCAGCGTTTCAAAAACCGGAAAACAGGCACAGACCCTTCCGTCAGCTGAGACTGGGTCCGGTGCCGGGAGCTTTTTACAGGTTTCCACTCCTGCTTGGGTCAGGGGGATACAAACAGCCAGAATCCAAAGATACATGTTTAAACGCCTACCTGACTAAACCTGAAAACACATATTGAATGCTCCTCCCCGGTAACCCCTCCCCTCAGTCAAATCTCTTTGTATTTCAGCTGCTTGCCACTAGGGGGAGACCTTTCGTTTAAAGATTTTAAAGAACCCCACTCATTTAACGAAGCGGAGAGGCAAACTGACGCTGCCCCTCCCCAGTGGCTCTGTGATTCATGTTGACTTCCTCGTATTTGTTTCCCTTGGTTGTCCTCCTGAATCACGTGACGCCAGTGCGAGACCATAAATAGCT